ATCAGAATTCAAAATAAAGGCTGGTAGCCTTGTGTTTGTCACTTACACAACTGACTGTAACAAAGAAGTTCAACCTTAGTGTGATCAAATTCCTCTTGACTATTAAATGACAAAAAACTTTAAATGAACTGATATCATTTTTAATAATTGAACGGAAAATCAAGCTCGACAAATTATTGCGAATCCATCAACCTGACGTTGTTGCCCTAAGTGAAACATGGTTGGATAAACGTTTTGAAAATACTGTGTCTTCTGCACAACTGTAGTTGAATTAATTCGCCTTTCTGATGAGAAAACATGAAGGAGCCCTAACGTCGGTTAAGAAAGCATCTAATTTAAATGTCATTGATGATCAATCAGTTATTTTTGACTTTGGTTTATATTTAGTTTGAAGCTGAATAATCCTAACGCTTTGCGTAATAGCCATTTACAAACCACCCCATGACAGACCTAATAATCTAAACTGAATTTTTTTTGAAAGAATTGAACAAACAACTCAAGGTACATATATTAGAATCTAATTCCAACACAACGCACTAGATTTTCTGCAGCGATTTGATTTTTACTTCAATTTATTGGACTATTTTATCAAGCGATGACCAACGTGAATCCAATTTTGTGAAATCAATGGCAATTCAATCTTGTCTTACTGAGAGAAAATGATTTTTTACAGCGAGACCTATTATTAACATACAATCCTTTCTTATGTAATAACTGCGAACTAAACCAAAGCTTCTCAGATCATCCTGCCCTTTCCTGTCGAATAGCATTTGAAATTGAAACAGAACAGATGAATTTAAACCGTTACTGTATCGTAAAGCAGACTCCGAATCATTGCGTTTGTTATTCTTAAACAACAGACTTCATTGCTCGAATGATGCAAATAGAATGCTTGAAACTTTCTATGGGTTGTATTATCAATATATTCCAAAAAAAGATAATTCGTGGCTCTAAAGACCCCCATTGGATGTCATCAGACCCAATAAATGCTGAAAATTGTCTTCAGATGGCATTGAAACATAATTATTCTGACGAGAAAGTTAAACGCTGCAAGCAAGAATTGAATGATTCTTTAGAACTAGACAAAGCCATTTACTTTGAGTCAATGAAAGGCATCGATTTAAAAACGACTTACATTTTTCCCAGATCGATGAAAGGAAAGGCAATAGAATACAAAAATACCAATTTATGCTCTGATTTTGCAATCTGCGAGGCTTTTAACGAGTTTTTTGCATCTGTGTATAAAATAGACAACGAACCATTGAGTGTTCCAAACGAAAGTAATTTTCCAGGAATACACGAATAAATTTTCGTTTCGCAATGCAAAGTTCTTAACAAATTGAGTAAAGGCAAATCAGGAAAAAATTCAGTTGATGATATATTTCCTAGCCTGTTAATTTTTGTTTTACAGTTCTGTTTGAATGATTTTGTTGAATTGTTTAAGTGCATAGTCAGTAATAATCAAATTCCAGATATCTAGAAAGTAGCACACGTTCCTCCCTTACACAAAAAAGTTTCTCGTATGAACATTGAAAATTACAGGCCCGTTTCAAAACTGCCTGCACTCACCCTAATATGTGAGCAAGTTTTATATAGTCGAGATTTATTCAAAGAAAACTGTTTAAAAACCAACATGGTTTTCGAAAACATCATTCGACTCTGACAAACTTTATATTGTGCGTGATGTTGTATACAAGGAATTAGAACAAGGAGAATTACCTCTCACGCCGTTTTAAGACATTGCAAAAGCTTTCGACTCTTTTAGCCATAACATCACTTTATACAAGCATCAACCATGATTTTCTTCAATTTTTTGCATCTTATCTCAGAAACAGAAAACAAATAATTTTTCTTCGTAATACATTGTCCCATTCCCTCAATATAACAAGTGGCGTTCCACAGAGATCATTTTTGCAGTGTTCTTGTTTTCTTTATATATAAACGATATGACAGAAATGATAGACAAGCCTTCCTTTTTATATGATGACGATACAAAAATTATTGGGAAATTGTTTGAAATTTCTTCGAATCAAACAGACTTAACCAATGTAATCACCTGGGAGCCAAAAAAACAGAAATGACTCCATGTTTGACAAAATTGAACAAATTAGATTTCAAAAATCAAACTAGCATTATCTTTCGAGCGATCTTTTATCTTTTGATGGAGAACAACTAGTTTCAAGAGCCACTGTTAAATACCTTGGAGTTTGGAGCAATTTCAAGATTTCATGGATATACCACATCACCGAAAGGCTTAAAAAAGCAAACAAGGAACTTAATTACATTAGATGATCTTCCCTAAACTCACTGAGTAGCTCTATTCGGGCTTCGCTTTTTAAAACTTGCACACTATCAAAAATATTTATGCATCTCCAGTTTGGTTTGCGACTAAAAACCAATGTATGCAAATACAAAATTTCAACGACGATGCTTAAAATGGTGTTAGAAAAAAAAACATGAATTGAAATGCTTATTTTTTTTAACTTGAATAAAACTAAACTGTTGCCAATTTCACTGATAATATTTAAAAACGATTTAACTTTGCTGAATAACATTCTTAATAACAAGTTGCCGATGAATTTTTTTGTTTTTCGGACAATCGACAGGAGCCCCGATACAAATCAAACGGAAAACAAGACGTTTTTGAGAATACCAACGATAACACGGAGCAAATTTTGTGAAATTTTTATTCACCGTGTCGCAGAAATGTCAAACACCCTCGAGAGATCGAAAAATTTGCCTGGCTATGATCGCTTTCAAGAACCTGTAATCTTTAGAAAGAATTTGAATCTGTTATTGTTTGACAAACTACAAACGTTTAAATATTCGATTTATCCAGAGTCGTGGTTTTTAAGTTGATTTTACTAACTTTGATTTCAATGACTAAGAGCAACTAATCCCCGCCTTGCGGGTTTAATTCAATCTTATTATGATTATAATTTGATTATTATTATGATTATGATTATTATTATTATTATTATTATGATTATTAAGACAGCAAAAACTCGCCGAATTGTGATGAGGTTTTTCAATTCTGGTTTGACTTTTAATGACGAGTTTCTTGCGGTTCATCGATTTATCACTATGTTTTTGCATGACAAATTTGATGAAAACAAAATTCACAATGAATTTTCCCCAAAGTTTTTTTGATACAATTTGGTTGTAATAGAAGTTTCTTATTCATCAAATGGCCCTGTGTTTTGAGCGTAATTTTGAACCGGACAAATTGAACAACCTTATGGGTTTAATTTTGAGTTCAAATTAGGAGCATTAAATCATATATTAAAACTTTGGTTGAAACTCCAAGCTATCTTTATGGAATCATTTTTCGTCTAAAGTGAACCCAACTTCTGATAAATGAGTTTGAAAAACCAGATTAATTATTTTATCCGATTGTTTTATATGATCACTAAGCGAGCTTGCTAAGCCTACAATGCAGTGCAATCTCGATTGAGCGTAAAAAAAGCTTGATCGGAAAACAATCACACGGTACAAAAAACATCATCACAATTCCTTGATTTTTTGCTAATTATTGAAAGAATGGATCCAGCAGCATCGTATCTCTTCGTTTTGGTAAGAAAAAATTACTTCACTTGAATTAAAGGGTGTCAAAAAAAATCCCTCATTTTGAAGTTTTCTCACTGCAAGCGATAATGGTGCTGAAAACAGACTGATCGATCCCCCATCGAAGCTTGTCGACTTGTGTATCTACACTGATTGACTCTTTTCGTGATATGTGTTAAGGCCTTTCGATTCATAAAAAATTGGTCGACCAACACAGGTTGCGTCAAAAAACCCACTTTGAACCGACCCAAACGATCGATTCTTAAGTCAGATGAAAACGAAGTCCAGCTGAACTCATGTTATTTTTGAGTGATATAGAGTTCATAATGACTTGAAATTTCATTACATGTCTAAACTGAAAATTGGCGAGACAAGTGAGGTCAATTGAGATTGAGGTCATTCGAATTCAACTTCTTGAGGCTTGTTTGATGCGATATGCGGGTGCTTCCGGGCAAATTATATAGATGGGTGTCTGGAGCGAGAAGTTCGCTGGACCGATATATCAAAAAAGAGATTATATGGAAGAATTGAAATTTGAAACTTCTGGTTGTTTGGAATCGCGAAGACTAAAAGTTGAAAAAATTGATTCTCTCCAAAAAGTTTTTTTTTTTTTTTAAAACTGACTATGAGTTTCAGCGGAGCAAATTTTTTTGAACGTTTTTAGATTTGCGAACTTAAAATTCTTACCAATAATTTTATTGAATATGATATGATACTTGACTGAGATACCTTAACAACTATTAAATGTTTTGAGGCTAGAAGTCATTTGACCCTAATAAGTTCAGTCAATAAGAACCTCAATTCGTCCAATGTCGAGCTTCATTCTTAACATATTCACGCTATTTACAGTTTCAGTCCAGAGCCTAAACTGGATCAAATTGTAATCTGGACTGAGGCGATAAAATTAATTCCCCACTTTGATAAAGTGTTGCAAACACTACCAGGTTTTCCAGTCGGAATTTAGTTCCTTAAGTTTGGAAGTTATAGAAACAAGACTGCGGGTTATTGGTAAACTAGTTAGGTAGTTAGTTACCAATTGTTTACTGCAATGACGTTTGTTGTATTGGATAATCTGGCAAGTTTAGAATAGACTAAACATGGTAGACATATGACTTTGGATTACTAGACTTTGGTTTTTATTACATTTTGGAACAATTTTAGCCAATTAGTCAATTTTATAATATCAGGCAATAAACGCTGATTGTTCAATTAACGTAAATTTAAAAGCTATAAAATGGATTAGAGAACAGCTTCAATATAACTCTTCAAAATTGAAAATATTTTTTTAGCAATTTTGACAAAAAAAACGAACAGAGCAAAAAGCTTGACCGTGAATAACTCAACAACTCAATTTTAAATATCGCTTTTAAAAACCGAAAAAAAACTGTTGAAAAAATTGAAAATTATTAAATATTTATATTGTTTAAAATCGGCAACTCCTATTTATTCTAGAGACCTCTTTTATAAAATTATCAAGGCCACGCCCCTTCATGCTTTTGTATCTGAATGATTTTGGAAACACCCCATAGGTTACAGCATGTAATTCTGGAGACTCTATGGCAACTTTTAATGACTCAGGTAGAGCTTAAAATCATTCAAGAAACATCGTCTTGAAGTCTTCTGAGCTACGATAAAGTTTCGAGCTACATTTGATAATTTGAGAGAAAGTGTCGTTTTGTAAATCTTATTAAAATAGTTTAAAACTCACTTCATTTGACAAAATCTTCGAGAGAACAAATTTGAAAAATCCGAAGAGCAAATTCAATTATCAGCTGTCGTCAAGTTCAAACAAAGCGTAGCGAAGCTTCTTTACTAACAACTTGTGTTTAGAGTGTACTTTTTATCTCCTCTTAATACAAAGGCAGAATCTTAGTCAAAACAGGTCGGTCTAAAAGGTCAATAAAGGTTCTTTGAATTTTGCCCGACTTCACTCCACAAAAGTGAAGCAAAAGTTCAAATACGAAGAGAAATTTCAAAAAATCATACTTTCCAAAATTGTCAAATTAGGTATATAAAACTCTGATTTTTGATAGGAAACTTCCAAAAACCCGAATGCAAAGTTTATGCAATAAGTTTTGCATTATCATCCCGCCTTTTGTATAACGAATGATGAAAGTCAAACATCCAAATCAAGCTCGAGTCTCGAATGGGAAGAAAGATTACAAATTTTGAAGATAATTGTTAATTTGATCTTCTTTTGTGAAGCAACTTCGCCGGAAAACTTTGTGTTTTACCTTTATTTATTTTAACAAAATAAGTATATTTAATTCTTTTATCCTTGGAGAAATTTGCCCTAGATCCGCCATACGTTGGATAGCTTCATCAGCTTTACCCTGTAATTCTCCAGAGAGCAGAAAACCCTAAATGCGAGAGCTCATATTGAATTCGTAATATTGGCGTATTATCTATTGTTCTGAGTGAAAACTTATTAAAACTTTTGAAGTTATAGCTCATCAAGGTCAAACTCTCTTCAAAAACTGATTTTGTTAGGTTTGTCATCCTAAAGAACCCAGATGTTTCTTTGAAATCAGAAACCACAAGTTATACCATAAATTTTACTTCTTTGTAGATTTACATAGCTTCAACTAGTAATAATTTTACCATGACTTGAAACTTTCAAAAAAGGCAAATCAATTCATCATTTTTATTCTACTTATCAATTCCATTCATCAAAAAAAAAGATTATGAAGTTTTCGATCAAAAATATGTTACCTCTGTTTTTCATTTTCCTCCACTGGATTTCGTTGACCGACGGTGGTTGCCAGTTTGACCCGATTCTCCAGACCAAACACTCAGCAATCATTCAAGTAAGTTTTCAGGGAAAATAAATAAAGAATTTCTCACAATTGGATTCTTTTTAGTTCTGCCTACTTCTTTTTGCAGAGGTTTTCTTATCACCATTGCTAAAAACCCGAATTTTGACGTCTTTTGTAGTTCTCTCAAATTGATTTCCTGAGTTGTCTTGAATCATTATAAATACCCTAACTTTGATCAAGTTTCCTGAGGCATTTTTCTGCACATTTTTGTAAAATTTTGACCTAAAAATTGCGTTTTTTGGCGCGCGGATTTTGTTCACTAATGAGCTTGAGCTGAAGAAAAACGCTTAGAATAGGGCTCTACTCAAAGCTGTTTATTGGCTCAATTCTTTACTGAAAAAACGCTCAAATTTCTGCTCAAACTAATTGTGAAAATTGTATTATCCAAGCAGGCCTCTCCCACAGGCAATGGGTACGGATCCTGGTGGGTCTCAAACCACTGGCCTTTTGATTGAGAGGCGGAAACTCTAGCTACTACCTCCTTGCTCCTCGCCTTTTTGTCAAAAAATATATTTGTCACGCCCTCACATTGGGAAAAAAAAAACGGGAAAAGCTTGCATCAGTGTGTATATCTGATTTTGAAATTTTTTTTGTTCCTTTTTCTATAAAACGTTGTCTATTCGAGCAAAACCTATTTTTTCTCTTCTAGTACTAGAGCTTTGTGACACGTCACCACCTTGAAAAACAACCAGTAAAGAATTATCTCCATGTCCATCAAGTAATCACACCTGCTTCTTTCATGTAGTATTCTTTGTCCAACTTTGTGGTTTCCCTGATGAAGGCCTTCAACTACCCCCCGACAGTGACTCACGATGGATATAACTACACAGACTACGACTACGGCTTCTCCTACAACTTCAGAAAAGTAGCTCCACACGTTGATCTGAACGGTAAGAGAGGCAGATAAGAAATGCATGGACTCATCAAATGACATAGATTACTGAAAGTAGTTCAGTTTTTAGCTTCGAACAAAGAACATTGAAAACTTAATTGTTGTGACCCGCACTGACAAGCCCAACATTGAACTTTATATTGAGGAGCAGTGGCCGATTTAGGGGGGGGGTGTGTTCGGACGCCCTCTCCTTAGGGATTCGACCCTCTGCCGACCCAAAGGGTCCCCCTTTGGTACTTTTTATGAGATCCATTTTTGCTGACGGATCCTAAAATTTTTCTAAAGACGCCTTTGGCGCCAATATATACTAACTTTGGGGGAGCGCGCGCCAAAAAAAACGCGATTTTTTTTGTCAAAATTTTCCAAAAATTGCCTAAAACGGCTTTTTGACCAGTTTTTTTTCAAAAATTTGCCTGCGGTGCAGAAAATTTGGCCAAAACAGCGTCTTTTCACTGTTTTAGGAGAGCTCTGAAAATCAATTTGGTCGACCTAAAAAAAAGGTCGTCAAAATTTTTGATAATTTTTGAAACTTTTTTGAAAATCCGCTCCTCTCGAGAAAATCCTAAATCCGCCCCTGTTGAGGAGTATATTGATAACATACCGTAAAGAAAATTACAGAGGCCATATAGAAACTTATTTAGAATATTTAGAATGGATTAAGTCGATTTTTTCATTTAAAAAAATTCTATAGTCCAAAAATTGGGTTTAAATCAATTTGATGGATTTTCGCAAATTAATGTAAATCATCAAAATCTGAACACATTTGATCTAACTTATTTATTCCTTTTGTTTTGAAACTAAAGGAATGAAAAACTCAAATGAAAATACACACTGAAAATACACACTGTTTGGCCTGAATACAAAATTGTAATCAGGCCAAACATAAAAAAGTTAATTGAGTAGCGTAAGTCATAGCTTTATTGTTCCGTCTTTCGATACGAAAGTAACGGAGTATTTGTGCTCGGGGTGAGTTTTTTTCAGACAAATTTCGAATTCTTAGCTAGCCATTTTTGACGGAATTTTTTGTATCATTCGAAAGCTATTGTTGTCCTGAGCTTAAATTTGAAAAGATATTTTGCCTGTGATCATTTTTCGTAGAGTTATGAGGGTGTAAAGATTGCCATTTTGGTCATTTTGAACAATTTGGGACAATTAACGCGCGATATAATTCGCGCTATTAACGCGTAAGCGGAGATTTAATCCGTATTAGAAATCATTCTAAATTGGTTGAAAGAAGCTTATCTGCCGTAATTGATTTGTTACAAGAATAAAATCTATCCTTTTGTACTTTATATGGCGTGTGGGGGGATGATTGTCATATAAAAAATTTCAAATTTGGATTTTTTTTTTCATTTTCTTTTATTACATTTAATTGTTTAATGTTATTACTGCTCCATGAACCTTAAAAGGCAGTCGGAATATTCAGGGGTTCGATTGATACGAGCAGTCTTGTTTTCATTTTCACTATTGTTTCATAGTCTAGAAAGTTTGAATGTAATCTGTATATAATTTGAATGAAATTGTATATGAATGAGCTGCGCTTTAAGGTCTATGGAGCAGTAAAATTTAAATGTTAAAACAAAATTGTAAAAAATATTTTGAAAAATGAATTGTTTTGTGAAAACATCCCCCCACACGTTATATTAATTAGAAAATGATAGATTTTGCTCCTGTTAAAAATCAATTATGGCTTATTAGCTTCCTTGAACCATTCTGGAACGACTTCTAAGATGGATTAAATCTCGCTTACGCGTTAATAGCGCAAAACATATCGCGCATTAATTGTCCCAAATTGGCCAAAATGCCCTTCTTTAAACCCTCATAACTTTACGAAAAACAATCATAGGAGAAATATTCTTTCAAATGTAAGCTCAGGACAACAATACCTTTTGAATTACATAAAAAAATCCCGTCAAAAATGGCTACTTAAAAAATCGAAATTGGTCTGAAGAAAAAAAAACCCACCCTGAGAACAAATATTCCGTTAATGTCGTTGCGAAAGTCGGAACAAAAACCTAGAAATGGATTTAAACTAATTAAGAATTGGTTGAAATTGAATTTTTAAGCTACAATTTTTTAGCTAAATTAATCGATTTTAAATCAATTCAAACCAACTCTAGTTAAGTCTGTGCTATTTCATTTGCAACAAGTTGATTGCAATGTTTTTCTTGAGAGTACGAGTATCTCAGCATTGTTTTGTGATAAAATCAAGTGGGGGCTAGCTTCTCATCGTGTAATTTTGTAAGTCTCGTGTTTTTTAGTCTGAAAACGGAAAAATTAAATCCGAATTACAACAGAAGAGCTTTAAAATGAAATCACTCTTTGTCTTTCACAAGTTTTCTTTGATTAATCAAAAGCAGGTAGAAAAACCAATGTTAATCCTTCATTCTGCTGGCTCTTTTCATTAAAGCGATCGGAACAACAACTTTATTATTATTTATTTAAAAAACTTAAATGAAATACTTCAAATCTCTTCCTAAAAAAGACTACTTTGCTACTAAAGACTAAACAAGACTGCTCGTATCAGGTCAGGGTGAAACCCTGAAGGTTCCGACTGGCTTTAAGGTTTATGGAGCAGCAGTAATAACATTAAAAAAATTAAATGAAATAAAATAAAATGAATCCTCCCCCCACACGCCATATAAAGTACAAAAAGAGAGATTTCGTTCCTTGTAACAAATCAATTATGGCAAATAAGTTTCTTTCAACCAATTTGGAACGATTTCTTAGACAGATTAACTCTCCGCTTACGCGTTAATAGCGCGAAATTTGGCAACCTTTAAACCCCCATAACTTTACGAAAAATGATCACAGGTAAAATATCTTTTCAAATTTGAGCCCAGGACAACAATACCTTTCGAATGATAAACAAAAATTCCGTCAAAAATAGCTAGTTTAAAAGTCGAAACTTGTCTGAAGAAAAAAAAACCACCCCGAGCACAAATATTCCGTTACTTTCGTATCGAAAGACGGAACAAAAAGACTACCAAAAAAGACTACTCTTCCTAAAAAAGACTACTAAAAAAGACTACTTTGCGATAGACCCTGATTGAAATTTTTCGAAATAATTCCTTCAATGTTGAAAGAAAACTGTTGAATGGATTTTTCTAACGTTTATGAAGCTTTGAGCATAAGTAATCACCTTCAAATTTTTGTAATCAGTTAGAGCTCAGTTGATCAGTTGTTGCTTTGAGGAAAGAATTCTTCGGACTCAAATGTCTGAAATGACTTCTGAGCCAGATGAATTTGTCACCTACGCATGCATACTTAACTGGAAAAACCCCGCATTAATCATCCCAAATTCGTCAAGTTTGCAATTTCAAAGCCATAATTTTTAAAGAAAAGCTCGCAGCTAAACTTTTCTTGGTGGAAAACTTTGCAAAAATTTGAACTTAATCTAGCCGTCACAGACGCTTGATTAAGCTGAGCACAAGTAATTTAATTGTTTTTTGTTTTAATTAAGAGCCAAAAACTTAGCTTAATTTAATTTTTTTTTCTTTTTTCAATAAGCTTTGAAACCAACAAATAACTTAAAAATGTGGTTTTAGAGTAAGAGTTTCACAATGCAGGAGATGAGAGCACTGAGATTTAAAAAGTATAGAAGTTAGCACCCTTCAGAACTCCCCAAAACTGTATGAAAAAAAAACATGGTTTTTTGTTCCGACCATTGAAAATGGGGAGGAACTTTGGATTCGGGTGTTTTATTTTTTTTTGCTTTTTGTTTTCCACGCAAAATTAGGTACCACAAATAATCATTGGACTGGGTTGAGTGATATATCATATTAAAGCCCTTTCAGTCGTGATTCGAACGATTTTTTACGGTGTCGAGAAAAAGTTTTTCGGTCAAGTTTCGAGCTAATAAGGTGACCGTGTAGCATAATTTTGGCCGTGAAAAAATAGTTTTACTCAAGTAAAGATAGTCTTTGGAGTTTTTTAGCGCAACTTTTGGAATCTAAAACTTGAAAAAAAATCAAAACAACAATTCTACAAAAAAAAAATTGAAAAAATTTTTGATCTTTTTTTCCAATTTTTTTTTTCGTTTTTCTAGTCATTTTTCTTTAAAAACTGTTTTACAATTGGCCTACTTTATTCTGATTTTGAATTTGCCTAAGTTCAATTTTTTCTTTCAAAACTTTGTATCACAACACGGAGAAAAAAACGACACAAATTTGAAAAAAAAACTTTTTTGTATTTTTCAATTCTGCCGTCGGAACATTCTATGCTACTTGCACAGTAACCGGCTATCCTTGTTACGTTTGAAAGTGGTCGGCTTATTACAAACCATTGCCTTCCTATAACCTTTTTATTCATCAAAACGTGTTTTTTTTTCAGACGCGTCAATCAACTATTTCTACCTTGGTCCCCACCCAGCCAGTCTGCTTCTGGTCATCTCCGGCACCAGATACCTCCACCCCCTGCAAACAATGAGATCCACACACCCAGATGCAGATGAGCCCCCCAATCGGATTCTGAGGGCCACTCGGGTGGTGTGGCGGGAGATGGAGGGACAGGTGTTCAAGAACGTCACCGATGAGATACTGGAGGATCCAGAACACTACATAGAACAGACTATCAAGTAAGTTTCTCACTTTCTCTCTAGAACATAACTTACATATCTAACTTTTTCTTACTTGTTGGGCAACATGCAATTAATTTAAGCACAGTGAACGCTCCTAATCCATTTTAGCATTAAGAAAACAATCAACAGATCTAGAATTTTTCCAGGTGGCTTCCTGTGAATGAGAATTGGTAGTCAGATATTCCTGAAGCGAAAATTTGGCAAACGTTTTTGAGAATACAAGCAACGTTGCTGATTTTCTTTCAGAAACAACCGTAGAGGGAAGGAAAGCCCATGATTTCTTGGTGCTTTCGATTGCTTTCATTGTCATTTTTCCTTGTAAAAAATCACAAAAATTGCCCTTAAACAGAATTTGATATAAAAATGTATATCTGTCTCCCAAAAAATGTGTTCGACAAGGTATCGCCATTTGAAGCGGGTTATGGAAACAAGAACTGGAGGTGCGCCCCCTCCCCTACCCATAAAACGCTAGTGGTTTCCGCAAGGTTTGCGTCCTTCTAGCCGATATTGTGCAAAAAGAGCAAATTTTATTTGTCTTGAAACAAACAAAATGGAGTCTGAATTTTAAAAAAAGACTTCCCATGAACAAATGTTTTCTTTTGCAGACTGAAGAATGACGCGAAAGGAAGTCTGTTATTCCTGGTGAGCAGATACGACCAGGCTGACAGTATGTATATGTCCTTCACAGAAGATGCTGGGAAAAGCTACAAGCGCAGGAATATCCCCCACCATGTGAAGCAGAAACTGAGCAGTCTCGCGTTCTACAGAAGGGTAGGTGGAGAGAAAATACTCTCCGAGCCAATTTTTGAGGCCATAGTTAAAGGCCATATAAGAAATACCGTAACAATCTCAAGGCCATGAGTAACGGCAGAAAGATGAAAGTCATGACCAGCGGTCCTTTGGTACCATAATATGTTGAATGACTTTAATTCAAAATCTTAAGCCCCCCAATTGCCGCTTTGCACGTTCAGTTTGGTTAGCAGTGACCATCTGCAAAAATATCAAAATTTGAATTTTTATTTTGCAGTTTTTTATGATTTTTTTTTGCAATTTTGTGGCAAAAAATAGCGTTTTTGTAGCGCGCCCTAGCCCTCAAATTTGAACGCAATCGTGTCGGGATCCGCTTGAGGGTGAGGCAAGTTTATCTATATAAAAATGTAGAAAAACCCGATTGTATTTCTGTTTTTTTTCCACATATATAAACCGTCTTCTTTTATTTTTCCCAGTCTGACGCCTTGCAGCCCAGCCCCTCATCCATGCAACGCCTTCTTGCAGCCAACACCTTCTTCACTCTGGACGGGGGAGAGACTTGGAAGGAGATTCTGAGCAGGGGCTACTTCCCCTCATACCAGCAGAAGCCACACAAGACTGTGTGGATCAATGACACTACTATACTCACTTCCACTCACACTTCATATGGTTAGCCTTTTTTTAAACTCATTTTGGCTTAAAAACTCTGAGGCTCTGTTTTTGGACAGTGCAAAATAAATAAATAAATATATGTATATATATATATATATTTTGGTTTGTTTCAAAAATTCTCAGTGGCGGCTTTGTTCGCAGTTAATTCAAAAAGTTGTACACAAAAAAGTCTTCCTGCTGTATAAGTGAAGTTTATTAAAACGAAATGCTTTGCAAATTATTTGAAGCGAGAATTTTCAGCAGTAAAAAACGATTGAAAACAGTGACAAAACAGAAAAAAAGTTTCCCATTACAGAGCTTATGTAATTATTAGTGTTTTGATATGCTTTTAACAAAACTGAACAGTTAGTCTCATTAAAATAGACAAGGTCGAACAAAATTAGTTGCCGTAAAACTTCAAAGAAGTTTTGTATTCAAGCCAAATGAGGCTTCTTTAGTTTGGTTTGTTTTTAGATTTTTTCTAATCGAGTTTGGTGCTAAATGCTAAATACAGATAATTTTAAGTTCTAATATTATATGGAGTTGCTGTCTGTTTTGTCAAAAATGTCAATTTCATTCAAAATAAAACAAATTAACTCAACAATTTTTCTCAAAGCATCGCAATTACAAAAATTAACATTTTGAGGACCTTACAATTTTGTTTAATCACTTTGTGTTAAAGTAATTGCAGTCTTCGATATTTAAACTTTTTAAATCAATTATTTGAGGCTAATTGCTCCCAAAGAGTGTGATGGTTGCTTGCGGCATCTGCGTTTTCGGAGACAATTACATCGAAACCCAACGAACCTGAATTTTATCCAAATATCTTACCAAATTCAATTTCCAGGAAAACACAATTATTTTAAATTGGAAATTAAATTTGGTAGGCTAGCTGGATAGTTTTGATTTTTAAAATTATTTATTTGTCGAACTATAATTTTTTGTCATCCGAGAGAAATGTCAGTGGTTTCGATGTGTTTTTCTCCACAAATCCAGATACCGCAAACAAGCGTCACAACCTTTGGAAACGATTCGAAGCAAAAAATTGATCAAAAAATTTAGGTCTTGAAGACCGCAATTAAACTTAACAAGATGTTTTATAAGTTTCAACTGGACACAAGCAAATTACAAAAAAAAAACTGCAAAAGCATCAAAGCTACAAAAAAGAAACAGAACCACTAATGAAAATTCAATCTTCACGGCATTATTATGAGCCCGCACTGGAGTTTCAGCAATAAAAAGCAAAGATTCTGGATTTTTTGTCATCTCTATATAAAAGAAAAAAATTTGTTATTCATATTCGTTTGAAAATGAATTTCACTTATGTTTTTTTTTCAAATCAATCAAACCCAATTTAACAGACTTTGATCAGTGACATAAGATTATGATTTTGATGAAATATTTTAGTAGATTCCCAAAAAATTAAACAATTAAATTTCACACAAAAATTTACCAAAAAAACAGTTTTTGTATATGGCTACAAGGCCTCTATATTGAAAAAAATCAGGTGTTGAAATTGTAAATTCTACCATCACAGAGAACCTTCATTGTGAATCTTATGTTTTTTATTTAAACTTATATGCAAAAGAAAGAACTAAGAAAGATTTTCTCTGGAAACTCTTTCTTAGTTCATAAAACTGGTTCAACTTTTGGCGAAAATGTTTTATCAATTTTGGAATTTTTTAATGAAAAAGGGCTTATCAAACATTTTTCAATAATTGAGTTGTATGCTAATCCTTTTTCGTCCAATGATAAGCATAGTCTTGATGATGTGAGCCCGACGTAAGCTCAATTAAATTTACTTAAAAATCCTTATGGAAGGTTTTATGAAACAAAAACTTTTCATAGAACCCATGCATGGAATCGTTTGACTATCATTTTTTGTATGGCAGTGTATGATAAGCCTTTCTTTGTATGGTGGTGAGCATGGATGTGCAGATCGGTGCAGAAAAAGAGTAAAACCTTCACATCAACAACAATCATCATTCGGTGTTTTTGATTTTATGAGCAAAATAATAGTTTATATTGGATTAAATCTAGATTATAGTCGGTTATAATTAATTATAATAGATCTTTAATTGATCAATATAATTGATTAAAATCCCCTAAAAATTCATGAAAAACGATTTTAATCAGGTCATGGAAAACGATTATGTTCAGGGGTCGATCTAGGATTTTCTCAACAAGGGGTCACGTTTGTTTTGTCAAGTTTTTTTAAATTAAATAAATTGATTTCCCAAGCTTCCACAAATCCTTATAAAGACCCTATTTCGACTATTTTTCTTCACCGCAGGCGAATTAATGAAAAAAGGCCAAAACAACGTTTCCCATGAATATCATGAAAAAATGGAAAACTGGTTTAATTAATAGTTCTTCTTCAATGTTGCCTTGAAAATAACCGTATAGGTATTACGTAAGGTTTGCACACCCGGGTTGACCAAAAATGCTTGTCCTACAACTTTCATATATAAAAAAACGCTTATCATACAGTTTCGTACAGTTCCATAGATACAGAAATTGTTTAAAAAACTGTAAGATAAGTATTTTTTCATAAATGGAAATTATAAGACAAGCCTTTTTTCATAGACCCAATTTTTTTTAAATTTTATTTCTCAATTTTTTTTGGATTTGTTCGTGACCGAATACAAGCGACTAATCACATGGTTTACTCAAAAGCAGAGTCACCAAAGGGTTGATCATCTGGCATTTACAATGTATTGGAAACGACCTAAATTGTGTAAGAAATTTTTTTCACAAATCATATACTGAAAGCATCAAAATTTTGAATTTTTGCCAAAATTTCAAAGAAGATTTTTTAAAATTGGAATTTTCAAATCATCAGACATTAATCAAGGCATATATAAGTATGCCATACAAAACATATAGGAGTTCTTAGCTTGTTTGATGTTATCCAGAGAAACGGAATAAAAATCCAATTTTTGTATATCCAGGACTACGTTTTGCAGACAAAAAAAAATTAAAATTTGCATGTAAAAATTTGCATTTTTTGGAAAACGTTTGTTTGATTGCAAAATTAGATTTGCGGTTGAAAAAAAAATTCTGGCAATTTCAATTTTTTTTTGGAAAAATGTTTGCTGTCTATATCAAAAAAAAATGTTGTCATACAATTTTCATATTTGGAATAATAACCATCCAAAAAAAAGAAACCATTTTTTTTCATCACCAGTCTGTTTTATTTGGTTCAAACAGCCGTAGAAACTATTTTGAAACTTTTTTGAATGATTTTTGAAACTGTATGAAAATTGTATGAGTAGCGTTTTTCCATACATTTGATGTATGGAATTGCATGATAAGCATTTTCGGTTTATGGAGGTCAACCCGCGCATGTTGTTTTCGTAGGTATCTCGCTGCACAGATGTGACCTTGAGAAGCACAGGTGTCGCATGCTGCTGTACAATATAAAGAACTTCGTTGTGCGAGACAGAGTGATAGTTGCCAGTATATATCACGACATACACAACCCATTTAACAGGTCACTCTACACCAGCACAGACGCGGGGGATGTGTGGAACAGGGCACAGGTAAACGGGTTTTCAGTTTCTTTTACCACCCCCACCACCCCCCACAAAAAAAAATCAATTTCTACGGTTTACATACAGAAAGTTAAAAATCTGTTTGGGGAAAACATCAAAAAATGTTGAGCAAACCTTTTTCGATAGAGAAGCGGTTAAAGGCTTACAGCAAACTAGAGCAAAAGTTTTTTTTATATACCGTTTAATTAACAAAACACTGAGGTCAGGTCACAATTTCTGATCCTTTTCGTTGTTGTATGATTAGAATGAATTTTTTAGATTAAAAAGTTTTGATCAAACCGTGCTGATTCCTTGTTTTAATTAAAATGTTTCTCATAATTTTAACTTAGACATTCTGAATAAACAATTTTTCGAACAGGTCAGGTCACACTTTCTGCAATCAATGGAGTAGAGCAATCTTTTTGTTTAATTCAGGTTGACTCGTTCAAGCAGCACCACAAGCCATACGTGTATCTCATGTCACCTACCCTCTCGTTTTTGACCCTGCTGGATGAGAATGAGTCATGCTATGACCTCTACGTCTCAGACTCAGCTCACGTCTCATACTCATTAAGCATGAAAAATCTACACCAGGTACAACTGGTTATGATTAGAAACCAATAATAATACTTTGAAATTGCACTAATAACTGATGAAATAAGCGGATACATGAAAATTTCCAATAAAATTGGGGGGCGCCGAAAAAACGTGATTTTTTGGTCAACTTTTTCCAAAAATTGTCCCAAAACGCCATTTTTGACCTGTTTTTTTTTTCAAAATTTGCCTGAGGCGCTAAAAGTTTTGTCAAAGTTGGTTCTTTATAGTGTTTTAGGAGCCTTCAAAATCAATTTGATTCTCGCAGAAAAAAAGTTCGACAAAATTTTTGAAAAATTTTTGAAAGTCCGCATCCCCCCTCGAGAAAATAATTCTAGATCCGCCCCTGCTTAATGGCAATCCTCAGCGTCTCACAATGTATGGTTTCAGGAGAAACTGGTAAGGGGCAGGGTTGGTGTGGAGCGATTAGGCAGTCTGGAGAGTGTGTTTGTCGTGAACAAAGTGGAAAAAGGGTCCGACTTCCCCGTCATGTTCATCACGAGAAACAACGGTAGTTTATGGTCACTAAGGTTCAAACCCTTCCTTATTCACGTGTCCTATTCACTTTTTTTTGCTTTTCATCAATTCATTTGGACCTTAAATTTTATTGAAATTTATCTTTGAAGTTGGGCGATGATTCGTCACAAGTAACAATTTGTAGCACTGAGCGTAAATCAGCATCCTAAAATCATTTAAACTTCTTGCATCAAGAGGCTCAAGTGAGAGAAGTTCGTGAAAGCTAAAAACTAAAAACTTTTTATCGCAATACTTGTTATCTATTATTCGAAATTTTGTCAACCTTTTTTTTTCAAAAGCTCTAAGGACTCAAATTTTTGAAAAAAAAAATAGACCAAAAAGGCGTTTTTAGGTACTTTTGGAATTTTTTAACCAAAAAATTGCGTTTTTTCGGCGCGCAATCCCCCCTTATTTTAGCATATATTGGCGCCAATGGCGTCTTTAGAAAAATTTTAGGGTCCGTCAGCCAAAAATGGATATCTCAAAAGAGTTCAAAGGGGGACTGTGCGCTCAATCTGAAAAAACTGTATAAGACAAATTAAATTATGAGTATTTTTCGGTAAACACACATAACAAGAAATAAGCAATGTCAACGGTTTGCATAATCAAGATCACAAAATCAACTTGTTTCGGTACAACTCGTTTTTGAGAGAATTTCGCGCAAGCTAGCCACAAGAACCGGTCGGTAATGTCCTTGAGACAAATTGCTCTTTTTGGCGGTCAACCTTAATCAAGGCTGAACCGAATTAGAACCAAAAAACAGTTAAAATAGGATGTAACCCCCGTTTTTAGTATATTAATACATGGGCAGGTGGGGGACTCGAACCTACGTCAACTGTTAACCTATATAATCGGCGTTATGGTAGCTTAGGCCACTCGGCCAACTGAGCTTATTTTATATGCATCTATACTTGTTTTATTCTACATTTGCATTGCAACATCCTCCCCCCCTGAAGAAGGAAGAACCGGAGCGAGCTTAACGGTCGGCCGCGTGACTTCACGGGTTGCGGTCCTGACAAGGGCGGATCGGGCGCAACCGTCCTGTCCGTAGTTTAGCTTGACGATTCGGGCGAGAGGGTAGTACCCACGCGGACTATCGGGCTCAATCACCCACACGAGATCGCCTGTTTTAAGAGTGAAGTCAGAATGAGTGTGCCACTTGACACGCTTATTCAGCGAGGGAACATATTCTCGAAGCCAACGAGACCAAATCGCGTTAGCATATGACTGCGCTCGCACGTACATTTTCTTGTGATCGAAGTGCTCCCCGGGTAAAAGCGAAGGAAAGCTTGTGGCATGTTGTCCAAGCAAAAAATGGTTTGGGGTTAACGCTTCTAACTCACGTGAATCGGTACTAACGGGAGTGATTGGCCTCGAATTCAAAGCTTGTTCAACTAAGCAGAGTGTTGTTCCTAACACCTCTTCAGTGACTCGCCTACTGCCTAGGATATCGTACAGCACGCGCTTCACGCTTCGGACGAGGCGTTCCCAGGAGCCGCCATGATGGGGTGCGCCTGGCGGGTTAAATTTCCAAGTAACACCTTTGTGTGCAAAAATGGTCGGAGCCATGCCATTCCAGCTCTTGATGCAGGCAAGTAATTCCTTTTCCGCACCAACGAAGTTCGTGCCATTATCCGACCAGATTGTGCTTGGCGTACCACGGCGCGCAACGAACCGTTCAATGCCCATGACACACGAACTGGTGTCCAGAGACGGTACAATCTCAAGGTGTACAGCCCTGGTGGTGAGGCAAGTAAAAAGAAATCCCCATCTTTTTTCCGTGCTTCTGCGAACCGGAACGTAAAGCGGTCCAAAGTAATCCACACCCGTATGATTGAAGAGTGGTTGCTTGTATCCGAGACGTTCGACCGGTAAATCGGACATAATTGGCTGGATGGTGCTTGCTTTGCGTTTACGGCATGTCACACATCGATTTTCGATAGACCGAAGTAGTCGACGCAACCCAAGTATTGCATATTTCATATTTAAAACGGAGCGCATGTAATCTAATCCTTGATGAAAATGCTTATGGTGGAGGCTGCGGGCCAACAAACGAACTAAGGTATGTCGGGCGTCGAGTATTATTGGGTGCTTAGTATCAAACTCGGTATCCACTAAGCGCACAATACGTCCGGTGGAACGAATGATTCCAGCGGGACCGATAAATGGCGAGTATGTGGCAATTTTACTACTATTCTTAATAGGTTTGCCAGCGGTGAGTGTTTTTAACTCAACGGGAAAGGATTCCATCTGAGCAAGATGAATCAGTTTGCTTTCTGCAATATCAAGTTCAGTAGGGTCGGTGATTCGTAAGTCTTTACCACGGAAATGCTTATGTGAAGGCAACACCCTCAATATAAAAGCGACTACTCGTTTATATCTTGTAAAGGAACTGAACCTTTCCCAATTGAACTCGTGTTCGGGATGTTTGATTGATGTGACATCGGTGACGAAGGAAGATGATGTCTCCAAGCAATTATCAACATCACAAGAAGGACCCTTCAAACGAATTTTATTGATTACACGTTCGTCGGGTATAAACGGCCAATCAGTAGTCCTGAGAATGCTCGGACCAATAACCCAGCTGCTATCCTTGAGGGCTTCCGAAGAAATCCCCCGCGTACCGGTATCAGCTGGATTATCGCCGCTCAGAACATGGTGCCACTCATCAATAGTGGTCGACTCGAGGATTTCGCCGACACGATTAGCGACGAATACAGGTAATTTTTCAGTGGAGTTTAGCCACTGCAAAACTGTTGTACTATCTGTCCACATAAAGACATGATTAATAGAGACGGTAAGGGCGGTCAGTATATCATCTTTTAGTCGTGTGGCGAGCAGAGCAGCTTGAAGCTCTAGCTTCGGTATAGATAGCGCTTTCATGGGCGCAACGCGAGCTTTACCAAAGATGAAGGATATTTGAGTTTTATGCGAGCTCGCGAGTCGCGCACGCAAAAATCCAACAGCACAGAAAACGTCCTGCGAGCTATCACCGAACATGTGGAGCTCAATTTGATCAACAAGCTCTGTGAAGTAACAACGGGGAATAGTCAATTGCCCTAAGAGAGGGAGACCGGAGTGCCACTCGAGAAACTTATCTCTTATGTCTTCTGGCAATTCGTCGTCCCAACTTTGACCACTGATTTTCCAAATATCTTTCAGTAAAAGACGGGCCCTAACTGTGTATGGAGCTACTAACCCAACAGGGTCAAACACGGAGGAGACGAAACTCAAGACGGTTCGTTGAGTTATTGCTTTATCGAGAGGACGATCCACGCCTCTGCTAACAACCAATGTGTCTTTCGTATGGTCCCACTTAAGACCTAAGACGTGTGATGATTGTTCGGCACCGTTACATATTTCCTTGATGGGTGAAGATGAGGTTTCGGATTCCTCGAGGTTCATTGCTGAAGTGATTTCATCAGCATTACTGACAAATTTAGTCAAATTAAATCCTCCCAATTTTAGTAAGGAAACCAAATCGCGACTAGTTTTAATTGCTTGGGTAACGTTCTCGAATGAATCCAAGTAATCGTCCATGTAAAATTTTTCATTTACGACTGAGGCGGCCTCAGGGTATGTGGACATATTATCAGTTGCTGTTTTTTGCAACGCGAAATTGGCGCACGCAGGCGAATCCCGTGCGCCGAATATATGGCGAGTGTACTGATGAACTACCACATCGGAAGTGGTATCCTCCCGCCACAAAAAACGGAGCGAAATTTGATCGCGGGCAAGGACTCCTACCTGGAGGAACATACCCTCTATATCCGCGGAGACGGCGTACTTATGTTGACGGAATCGCAAAAGCACAAAAATTAAATTTTGGAGTAGGTCAGGACCCACCAATAAGGACTTATTTAAGGATGTGCCATGAAACTTAGAAGCCCCATTAAGGACTCGGCGCACCTTACCCGGCTTATTCGGATTTAAGACGGGATGGTGCGGAAGATACCACTCGCGATCGGAACGCTTACGTGGATCATGCGGTTCGACGGTAACGACATAGCCTTTCCTAATGTCCTCTCTAATTGTTTCTGCGTATCTTTCGCGCAGCTCAGGGTCTTTACTTAACCTTCTCTCCAATGATTTAAATTGGGCGAGTGACGAGTAATAATTGTTTGGTAGACTGACATTACTATCAATCCAAAGCATAGGCACAATGTATCTTTCGCCATTGTGAACGGTTTCAGAATTAAGGATGGATAAAGCATGTTTATCCGCGGCGGAACGGGCATCGACTTGTTTGAAAGCACCATACGATTCCAACTCGTACCAGGATTTTATCTGGTCGGTCAGAGAAGAATCTTCAACAACACACTTGAAACACGAAGAAGTAGAATTACCGGACGGCGGCAACGGACCACTTAAGACCCAACCTATCGGTAGGCGAACGGAACACGGTGAGTTTTTATCATCTCCCAAGATGAACTCAATGGGTCTAACGGCGTGGTAGTAGTCTTGTCTGATAATAACTTCAACGTCCTCATAAGTATATTGAATGGGCTTAATAGGTGCTAATTGTGGATATTTATTCTGCAAATCAGCAATATTGATTAATTCGGAACCAATCCGAATATTGTCTTTAACATATGCACAGAGAGAAAATACGAAATCACTATTATTCGGCTCGGAGGAAACTGTAAACTTGACCCTCTGAGTCTCAACAACGGTGGTCGAATTGAAACCACTAATTGACAAGTTAACGGGCTCCCCTACTAAGCCGAGACGGTTTACGAGTGACGAAGACACCCAGGAGTGAGTCGATGCACTATCACAAAGAACCAACGTCAGGAGACTGGTTACATCCGAGGATACACCAAGTGTTGCAATTGGCAACAACCCTTTAGAAGATTCAATGTCATGTACATCACTAACAGCGGCATGGGTGGAAGTGTTTGTATTCTCCTTGGATTTGTTTGTTCCAGCCTTATTCGAGACATTTGAATTTTCCTTCCGAGGAAATATTCTTTCGGCTCCATGGAGCAAGACATT